TGTATTTTAAAGGTACTCAAGGGCACTACTAGATCATCCTTCTCTTGCTGGAACAGCCAGAAATAAATTTTCAGATGTCATGTATCAGAAAAAGTGTAGTTAGCTGGGCAAAAGACATAACTTGTTTTGAAGATGCTGCTGCAGAATTCAAAAATTCTCTGACCTGTGCTCAAAACTGTGTATGACATTTCAGCTTAGTACTGAGAGGCTCAATAAAAGAGGTAGTGTTTGGAATAATAGGAAGTTTTGAAATGCTCCTCCAGGGGCTTCAAGGAAATGAGCTTTTTTGTCCTGTACTTAGCTGTCAAGACAAATTACAGTGGAACAATTTCAGTACTAATGGTAGTCCTACTGCACAAATCTTGGTTAAGAAGTCAGTGACCTGCAATTTGGGCCTATCAGGGACTGCATATAAATTTTATTTTATTAAGCTATTTTAAAGTTCTGTAAGAATGCAAAATTTTTTGTAGTCATGCATCACATGATTTGAAGCAGTGGGCAGATAATGATTCCTGAATGATAATCTTAGCACTTGAGTTTTCCTGAGGCTGGATGCTTAAATATTTTAGTGTTATAACTGAGTAATGCCAGGTTGGGCTTATGTCTCTATTTGAGTCACAAGCAAAGATATGAAGGCATATAGATATATATGTAATATCTTAATATATTAATTACTGCTACTCACTTTTTGATGTTCTTGGTCCACACATGAACAGTGTTGTGCTGAAATCTTAGGTGAAATTTCTTTTCTCAGCCTTGATGCAGTTGCAGCAGAGGTGTGGCAAAAAAAAAAAAAGGTGCATTTGAGCACCTTGTCTGCTCAGCCATAATTATGATTAAAATCATAATAATTGGTGACACTTGGTGGAAGATGAGAGATCTTTGCAAGTATAATGGAAGCATTTAAATTCAAATATTAGGTAAATACTCACTGAGAACAACACATAGCAATCAGCATAGATAATGTCCCACTTAATAGTTCTAAGAGTTTGTGCAATAAAATTGCTTTCTGGATTGAAAACCCACTACTGTATGCTAGAGCCAAAAAAGAGCATCTGAGTGCAAGGACCTCATTATTGAGGTCCTGAGACAAGAGAAATCAATAAATAGTCCTATCATATTAAAAATAAGGTAATTCAATATCCACAAAAAAATTGCTAGGAGTGAATATGCTGCTTGCATAAAAGGTAATAAATAAAATCACGGTAAAGCAACTTAAGAGCCATATCTCTACAACGATCAGCATGGAGAGCACCCCACATTTGGAGGTAGCAAATAAGGGCAATGGTAAATACAGCTGGGGCAAGCTTTTTTTGAAATGACAAATAGTTTTAACACCAGAGAGCCATGCTGAAGCCATTTGAGACTTTCAAGGTTTATGTTAAGACAGATTGTTTTTAAAAAAAACCCCACAGTTTTACTGCATTTTCAGCTTAGTAAAAGGCTTACAGAGATTTCCAATCAGTTTCTGTAATTTACAAAAGACTCCACAATAATGCAGTCTTCCTGCTCAGATTGTGCTGCAACTGTGGAAAAGCAATTTTTCATGGATGCTTTCTGTTTGATAGCACTTGTAGAATCATAGGAATCATTCAGGTCAGAAAAGACATTTAACTTCATCAAGTCCAAGAGTTAATCCAGCACCACCAAGTTCACCACTAAACCATGTCCCTAAGTGTCACATTTACATATCTTTTAAATACCCATGTGGATGGTGAATTTGTCATTCACTTGAAAACATTATTCTTGCATAATTTTTTCATATACAATAATTGTCTTCTCAGCAGGTTTGCAGAGGTTGTATGGGTAAAGCTGTAAATATACATTTCCACAACATGAAAATTTACCATCTATTGACTGACCTCTAGTGGAAATAAGGCAAATCTAGGGAAAATTTTTTAATTGTCGTTGGATAGTTAGGATGATTATGGGATTTTGGGGTGCTAAAATTTTATTTTATTTGTATTATATGTTTGCCTGTATAAAATAATAAACAAGTCTGGATACATATAACCTTTCCTCTCAATGTCTACCCAAATACATTACTAGAATAGCAGGAGGAAAGCTGCTGCAGATTCAGAAACCAGGTCTTTAGTTTGATTTAAACCAGGTAATTCTAAAATGGCAATGTATGAATTGCACCAACAACACAGACCCTGGCAAACAATGCTCTGAAAGAGGGGACAGACCCTGCTACTTTCTCTGCACTGATCAAAACCACTTGATCATTATAAATAACCACAAATTCTTACAACAGTCTCATACATTTTCATCTTGATGCATCAGTTTTTTCCATCCACAGATGGCATCTGGTCCGCTGCAATTCCATTCTTGGACAGATGTTGGTTCCTCCCAAAATCAGTGTTGAGGCATCACCCAACTGTAGTGATATGTGGGGGTTTTTTTCATATTTTATTTTCTTCCCTAATTTCACTTCTCCTGTAAGAATTTCTGTTTCGTATTTAAAGAAATAAGGGCTGAGTGCATACATGTACATCAGACACCAATTTCATTCCCCTGTTTGTAGGACCTGGGAGTATTGAAAACTTGATCAATAGAGAGAATGCTGAGCATATTTCTTCATTACTTATTCATCATGCCTGTGTTTCTTTGCCTGATTACTAATGAAATTCCCTTTCCTCTCCCCTGACTCAGTTGAATTCCAGATACAGCTTTGCAATTAAGCCTTTGGTTCTGTAGCATATGGTTGTTGATATTTTCGAATGAGGAGAACACAGTAGCATCTGGAGGACTCTGATTAAAAAATATATTAAAGTAAGCCAAAACCCAGTCTTGTAAAGACACCTTGATCAATCAAAAATCCCTCTTGGAGAAGATATTAATGCATTGTGTGGGGGGCGGCAGCACCTGAATATTCTGGGCTTGCTCTCTGCTCAGCTCAGCCAGACTTGTTCCATTATTTGCCATCTTTCTGAACCTTGGAGAAGCAGCCTTGCATTGCTGTGTGATGGGATTAGAGGAAATGTGAGCAGTCTGTGTACTGGAATCCTCTAGGAATAACGCGACAAGTCTGCAGCATGTAAGCATTTGACTTACAAATGAGGAGATATTTTGGCTTCATACACGTGGATTCCTCCAGTACCATTAAAAATACATAATAGCTTTCAGTTCAGCTGTATTTCTTTGTGGGCTTACCTTTCTAGGGAGTACTCTGAACTATTCCCCATCCTTACACTCCCCATATGCCTCTCCAACATCCTCCATGCTAAACTGAGCCAGAGTCTCTTCTCCTCCTATGGCGTGTGTTAGCTGGGGAGGCCCTCTCTGATTCCCATTAGTCCAAGTCAGCCTCACCATCCTGACATCATAACTTGCATTTCCACTTCTGTCCCCCAGCTCCCACTAATACATTTACACAAAAATTTCCTTGACTGATTGACTTTACCAGGCTTCAGAAATACTCACATGAAGGGTGGGAAAAAAAGACAGCTTCTACATTGGAGGTGGATGGGATACACTATATTACTTAATCTTCTTCACATATTTCTTTCCAACCTTTTTGATCACATTTCTTTTATAAGTGGAGTCTACAAAGTGGTTTTGGTAGATATGTGATAATATAAGGAGAATGAAATGGCTTTGTTTTGTTGAGTTTATTAAGGAGCTTTTATACCATTCCTGGAGCTATGATCACATTTCTGGTAATTTCTTCTTTGTTTTTTTTTAATATTGGCTACTCTTCCTATTAGCAATAGGGTGAAACTGTAAAAACTAGAACACCCCCATTTTCAGTAAAGCTTTTAAAGAGAGAGGCAAGAACGTATTGCTTTAATCCTGACTGGAGTACTGTTTTATACAATGCAATTCCACACCAATTGTTATTCACAAAATAGAGGAAGACTATGGGAATGAATATTCATTTAATTACCTTACCTTTTTAGCTCTCATTTAGAACTTTACCAAAATTAGACTTGCCACAGGGTTTTATCTCAATTTTTTTTTGGTCTTTTTGCCCTGTTCTCATGATAGCTGTTCCATTCTGCATAAAAGGTTAGATTTCAAGCCGCTCGACCTAAGTGAGATATCCTCAGAATTTTCCACTGGGTCATTAATGTCCTAATCTGGGTTTGCTCAAGATGTTAAAATACATTTTTATTCTCTTTCACTCCTGGATAACAATGAGGAGAGGAGAGGAGAGGAGAGGAGAGGAGAGGAGAGGAGAGGAGAGGAGAGGAGAGGAGAGGAGAGGAGAGGAGAGGAGAGGAGAGGAGAGGAGAGGAGAGGAGAGGAGAGGAGAGGAGAGGAGAGGAGAGGAGAGGAGAGGAGAGGAGAGGAGAGGAGAGGAGAGGAGAGGAGAGGAGAGGAGAGGAGAGGAGAGGAGAGGAGAGGAGAGGAGAGGAGAGGAGAGGAGAGGAGAGGAGAGGAGAGGAGAGGAGAGGAGAGGAGAGGAGAGGAGAGGAGAGGAGAGGAGAGGAGAGGAGAGGAGAGGAGAGGAGAGGAGAGGAGAGGAGAGGAGAGGAGAGGAGAGGATTCTTCCATTGAAATGAGTAGCACTGTTTTTAATGAAAGAGGAGATTTGTGAGATTTTAGTTTTCCACTAAAGCCTTTTCACATACAGCTTTTTTTTAGTTCCTAATCTGAGCTTTATATAGACAGTTTAATCACTCTTGATAGAAAACCTGGTCTCCAATCCTATTTGGCTGAAAACCCAAGGCTTTACTTGCTGCAAGATTAGCTCTCCAGAGACCATCCTTTCTTATGCTTATATATCTGTCTTGAAAGCTGTTCAACAGATTGTAGGCAATTTTAAGCTTCAGATTAACTACATTTTTTAAAAAAATGAAAATGTGTCATGGTCTTTTTAGAACCATTCAGGTTGAGAAATGTGAACTCTTATTTTCTACAGACAGAAAATATTAGACTACTCTGGACCTAAATATAAAGAAGGTTTTGGGAGAAAAAAATAGGGATTTTTTTTCTTTTAACCTTTCAAATGTGGTTTCCAAAATGTCTTTGATAAATAAACACTTACCTCAGGAATGTTTTAAATGATGATGTCACAAATAGAGTGTGTTCCTTCATTTGTTTACTCTGCATTTGCTCTTTGCATTTGTAACCATTAGATGGAGATTAAAGCAGGGATTACACCAGGCACAGTTTCAGATCAAATGGAAATTCTAAATTCTGTAAAAATGAGAATTTCTAAGTTTAAAAACCAGTAAAAGGGGTACCTTCCATCCTTCCCCAATAAAGCATGCACGCAGTTAAATTATAAAACTCCTTGTGTCAGAATTTCTAAGTTGAAAGAGAATGGAACATTAAACTTATAAGAAAAATACCAAATGTCATGATGATAAAATGACATTATGAATTATATTAAATAACATGCATATTTCATATAATATGAAGGGTATATAAATGATAATGAAGGACTAAATAGAGGCTGTCTGCTATGATGGGATCCACTAGAACCACAAGGGTTGCTGGATTCATTGCCCTCCTTCAATTTTCTGCTGTACATGTTGCACCTTCCTCACGTGCTCAAAGCTAGCTCTGATGACAAGTGAGGTGTTAAACCAGACAAATTCCTGGCCTGAGCCAATCTGGCCATCCTCTCACAGGTTTCTCCCTGGGAACCATCACACTGCCTTCAACAGCTCAACTATTTTATCACCCAAGTGATATTATATATTCATATTTATATTTCGTGACCCCTGAGGTGTTCTCGGGGGACAGGGAGAGAAAAGAAGACAGAAAGAGGGCCCCAAGGAGTCTCTTGGATGGGATATAGCCCTGTTCAACCAAACCAGCTGTTAAAATTGAGTTTACCTCCTGGACTGCTTGTCGCAAAACTTCTTTTGAACATCACCCACTTTTTTTTGCTCCTGTCCTGTCTGTGCACCACTCAGTCTCTGCTTGGTAGGTGGTGCCTTATCTTCCCTCTCATCTCATCCACAAGCTCATGAGGAACGTGGGAGCCACCAATGTGTCCCAGACAAGCTGGATAGAACTTTCTGCTGGTCACCATCTGCTGAGCTGGGTCATATTAAAGGTCCATTACACCTCTGGATTTACATACATGCTGCTACATTCACATGCATAAAAAATAAATTGGTTTTTTTAGCAGCCTTTTAAATAGTGGAGGAGATTCTTAAAAAAAACCCCAACCTTTTCTGAAGGTGCTTAAAAGATTCTGAACAGAAGTATGAGAGAATAAAAATATATATAAATACACACACACACACACACACATATATATATACACACACAGAGCTCATTGTATTTTACCTTTTAGAACGAATAGTTTTACCCTTTATGGCAAAAGAGAAATTTTTGGCACCTGGCTCTTCCCATGTCACATGTATATGTCTGGAATTGTTTCACTGTACTTGAGGGGCTCATTAATTTCAAGGGCTGTGATTGCACTTTGTGTCTATCACAGGCTGAGCTGTGCAGGAATCCAATGGATTCAGACAGTCTCTTCCTCAAGAAGAATCAGACACTCCCAGAGAGTGGAAAAACATTGTCACCTGGCTCCTGCTCACATTGCTCATCCTCTGCACGTTCCCAGCGTGGATATAGTGCAGGTTGTGTGATAGCAAGGTCTAGAAAAGAAAAGGAAGAATGGAATTAGCTTTCTTTTCTCTCCAAGTACAAACATGAGAATGTGCATCAGCCAGCTGCTGCATGATCTGTCTCAGATCTCAGGAGGCACACCAACAGGACAGTCATCAACAAAGCAACTGGGTAGCTAAAGAGCAGCTCAAAATTGATTTATCAGCCACAAGGTCTGAATATCTCCAAATCTGCCTTGAATAAATACAAGACTTCTTTTTAGTGTGTGACAATTAAAATCTATATTTTCAAACAGAACAGATTTCCAGGCTCTATTAAAACAAGAAGTGAAAAACACAGACCAGCTGAAAAACACTCAGTTTGATTCAAAGTGTCACCCTGTGTCTGTTGTATGCCAGGAGTATTTACAAGAGCAGTGTTAATTCATGAGTAAGGCCAGAAAAAAAGTGGACATGGTCCCTTTCAATTAGATCTATTTATATTAGCCTATACAGGAAGGGAAATTCTGATACTAATCTATAAACTCCCAGTAATCTGCTATTACATTAAGTATGATTAATTCAGTTATCTCTTCTTTAATAATTCATCCAACTACATTAATCAACTTTTCATTAATAGAAAAGGTAATCAGGATTTTTTTATCAAGAAAAAAGTCATCTAGACTAGAAGCATAATTATCTTTACTATGAAATTCTTTTGTTTGACAAAATATTTGGCTAGTTCAATCAAAATGCAAATTATACCCCTGTGGAAAAAAAAAAGACAGTACTTAACTGCAAAATGTTCCAGGATTGCACAGACCTTGCTGGTAACGATTTATTTTGGAAGATCTCACTCTCAAAGTTCAATCTCATGCGTCATGGATTAAATTGCTGTGTATTTTTCACAACAACATCTTAAGTCTGGGAGGAAATCTTCCCAAAGATTCAGTGCTTGGCTTGCTGAAAGCACAGTCCTCATATTTTTGCTGTACCCACTATCCATGCCTGTATATCTTATACCTACCAAACAGTAATTCTCTTGGAATTTCTCTGTCTGGTCATGGCCACAGCACAAAAATACAATATAAATAGTTAAATATTAGCAGCCTCCTCACCAGAAGCTGCCAGTTGTTTTTCCACAAGGGGCTGAAGGCGGTGTGTACCACTCACAATTCTTGGTGGTGCTAGGACCCCTTACAGCTGCACCTCACCTCTCTACTTGTGTTATCCACTGCATGAGGCCTTGGTTTTGTCTTCCAGTTGGTGTTCAATGTGCCCAGTGTAATGGCACAACTCAATCCTGTACATCTCACAGCCCATGTCATTTCTTGCCATGCACATCAGCACATCACAGCAGCAGAACCTGTACTTTTCTTGAGTTTCCCCAGCTATCTCATGGCCTCTCCTGCAGAAATCAGTTCCACATGATTAATTTCAAGATAGTTGTCCTTTTTTCTGTATACTTCTTACCAAAATAAATAAAAAGAGATCAGGGGAAAAATACATGTTTCCATGCAAGTTAGATACCCTCCTTCATTTTCTCTCCAAGCCCTTCAGGCTTTCAAATGCTTAGGAGGTGAGGTTATACTTGACAGCACAGCAAGGTTTTTCTGCATTCTGGGTTTTTTAATTTAAAAACTGAACTTTGGCATCTTAGAGCTGTACAGATTTTTATTTCACAATCTATATAGGTAGTTCAAAAGAGAGGGAACATATTAGAAAGAAAACTTGCCTGCCACATTTACAATAATAATTAGGCTAACTGCTGAGCCAAGAATCAAAGAGTAAAATTTCATTTCTCAAGCCCCATGTTCCTCCTCCTGTGGCACTTGAAGAGCAAAGCTCTGGAGAGGAAGGGAAAGGAAAGGATTTGCTTCTGGGCATCCACAAGCTGACAAGCCAGAGCAGCACAGCTTCCAGCTTGATCTTAAACCCTGCTGGGAACTATGAACTTGTTACTGCCCTGGCTCCTCTGTGAAGCCTGATCTGATGGGAATTCTCAAAGCACATCTGCTGGCTTGGGCCCTGCAAGGAAGAGGAGCAGAGTAGTCTGTTTTTATAGGCTGGCTTCATTGCCAGCTTCTACATCTTCTTGCCTCTCCTTTTCTGTTTCCTTCATCCTCGCCATCTCCTTTTTCTCCCTCCTGATTTACCACCTCAAGTATCAGCCCCAGCATGCCTGTGCTGAGCCACACCTGTAACTGCTTTACTACATTTATTAGTGTCTTTGGAAACAGTTCAACTCCAACAGACTATTTAAATATGCCTTTTGACAGAGCATGATCTTGGGCACCATTAAAAAGTGAGAGAATTTTCCTTCAGTAGGAACCTGTCTTCCTGCCACCACTCCAGCACCTGTTTAGGTGTTTTGTTAAGCATTCATTGGAAAAGGAACTGAACTCCAGTCCTTCCTCCACAGGCCACAAGTTATCAGTCTATAACTCCTCCTAAGCCAGTCCATGCTACAGGAACTATGTAAGGGAAGCTTGTGGAGCTCCATCTCAAAAATACAAACAATCTAGTAGTTATTTCAGTCTGGACTACGGGATATGAATATACTCAGGCAGAATTCCAGTTAGAAAGTCACTGGTGACCAATTTGTCTACTATGCAGTTGGGAAACACTTTGCAATTAATTCAGCCTCCATTGAATTACATTATGACCCTTTGAAATCAAGAAATTTGAGACAGAGGGAGACAGAGATGCTCTTTCATGCAAAGAAATTTTAGTTTGTATAAGGCCTCTAGATGATATAGGAACATTGGCTTTGTTGTTCATCATGTGCTTGGGGGCATAAATTTTCACTGATCACATACCAATGTCACCATGATCAAGAAAAAATAATCACACCTAAAACAGCAGCATGCAAGACAACATCACTGACACAAGGTGAGACTCAGCAACTACAGCCATCAAAACCAATGTCTGGGTGTGAGCTGACACACTGGATGGTGGGAAGGGACATATGGACTACGTCCAGTGCAGTCTGCAAATATTTAAGCATACCTAGGGAAGGAAAATGCAACCTATATTTGGATGCTCATGTAAAACATATTTTAAAAAATGCACAGTTTGATGGTGTATAACATTCACTTTGGCAATTTAGCAAAACTGCTGGGGTTCTAGGGATGAAGACAGATCTTTACAGTCAATACAGAATGCATTATCTTACCACACACCATTTTCTCCTCCTGATTTGCTGCTCTTTTATTAGAGCAAAACACCCATCTTTACATTAGCTATTGTTTATAGACCTGTAAGGGACAGGAAATTACCTCCTCTTCTATAAATACCCCATTACTAATAACTCTGGATTTAGTTTTAAGATTTGCTTCCCTGGCAGATATAGCTCAATTCAGTTTAAAAAAGAGGGAAGTTGAAAATCAGTCCTAAATAAGGAGTGACAGAGTGGAGTTGTAGGAAATATGGACTGAACATGATCCTGGAAAAGACATTGGCAAATGAAACAGGTTTGCCAGGTCTCCTCACTGAAATATCACCTTTATTAAGGATTATTTATGACAAAATTGTGTTTGCTGAAACTCTCCTTTGCAACATAAATCCAGGAATGACAAGTTAGTCAGACACAGCAATTTGTAGCACATTCAATTCTGGAATACTTTCTGTATTCTGAATTTACTTTATTCTCCCATATGTAAATCTTGGCTCATGCAGATTAACAAATAGGAGATTTTTCATTTGATTTATATGATAAACAGATGGTTTCTTATGTTAAGAAATATTAATATTCTCATGTTAAGGATATTTTCCCCCCTTCTTTTTTGCCTTTTTTTAAGAAACAATCTCTACTCTAGTTTTAAGACTTTCCACAACAGAAAGAGGATTTTGGAGAAACTTTGCTTGGAGATTATAAGAATCTAGGAAGTATTTCTGTCTGTGCTGGAAAGAAGAGCTACATGTATCAGTGCTTCTTCCTTCTGCGGTTGGATGTAGGATAAAGTAATATTTATCTAGCCTTTTGGACACAACTTTTTATAATTTATCCCTGATGCTTCACATCACCACACCTTCTTCAGTGCTGCTCCATCTCACTGGCCCAAGAGTGGATTAAGCAGACTCCAGCAGGGATGAGGAGCAAAAGGAAAAAAATCTGTCCCAGATGATGTTAATGGCAAAATTCCTGCTCTCTTCCAGAGGGAGCCAAGATCTCACTGGCATTATTTTGCCAAGCTCCCCTGAGCTGTCCAGTGGAATTCATCTGTTTTGAGTTGGGCTAAACCAACACTCAGGTTGGTCTAAGGTCTCACAGTCCTGAGGAAAACAAAGAGCTACCCCTCAAGGCATAATATGTAACCATAAATCAGGCCCCAGTTTTCCCCTGATTTCTGCAAATTTAATTCAGGTTTAAAACCACAAGAGTGCTGCTTGATATTAACTGTGCTGGGAAACCCAGCAACACAGGTCTGCTCTGCATTTGAGCTGATTGAACTAATATTGCATTTTGCTACCTAGAAAAGCAGAAGGACTCCAAAGAAAAGCATATTGGCAATTCAAAGCAAACATTTAAAAGGCACACCAGGATTTCCAGCAAGACATATTAATAATTCTTTTTCCACCCTAAGAAGATAGTTATTGGTAGAACTTTTAAGTAAAGCAAAGATTTTTTAAAAGGGACAGTTCTGTTTTGTTTAGACTTTTGTAACAGACCAAGTGCTGTTATACCTCAGAGTTATGAACCCATATAAAATGGTCAGCATGAAACAGGCTCTGTCTACCTTTGAAAAATTGCTGGTGATACTGTGGTCTTTCCTGATTGCAAGTCACAGGACATTCAGGGTTATTTTTTATTTCCAGCTGACATTGTTAACTAAAATGTCCCACCAGGTATCTCAGGAACTGCACACTGATGGTAGAAACAGGACAGATAATTTGTTGGCAGTAATGGTCATTGAGTTCTATCTCCCTATAATCCAGGCTTTACACAGCTCTGACTTGTGCATGTCTGATTGTTTAATGTAACACTTGGCAAACCTAATTTAAAACCACAGACTTCTCATAAACCCAGTATTGTTCAGATGTGAGTGAACAAGCTGATGACCAAATCTTGTATTTAACACTGTGTTCTCTATGAAAGAATTTTATTGTAAAAATCAGAAGGAAAAAAATCTTTAATTTCATTTGCATTAAAAATTAAAACATTAATGCTGCAATGCTGCCACCATTTCTCATAATAGTTTCATCTATGAATTGCATTTGTGTTTTTTCTATGTGGCTCCCTTGGATAAATCACACCACAGATTCTTGCTTAACCTGTTTAAACATTGGTTTTACTCTTGTAGATGCACTTTAGTCTTTGTAATTTCTGGACCAAGTGAATGCTTGGAGATAGTAATGCCCATGTTCAGCTCTCAGTCTCATCATATTTTGGGCAAAACCATTTGGGTAATCCTCCTTTAGCACATCCATGATGGAAAAAGAAAAACAAAGAAGAGATCCTTCCAGTAATCCAAGTTCAGAAGGTAAAAAATCACTCCAAATTCCTAAATCAAAATTGTTTGCAGTGCTGCATTTCCTGTGCACTCTGTAGCATCCCAATCTTCAGAATGGATGCACGTCAGGCCTCTCGAGGGCAGCCAAAGGGCCACTGCCTGGGCAGTTAGAAATCAAGTCAGGCTTTCATTCCAACTTCCTTTAGCAGGCTTTTGCTCACTCAGATTACTCTTTTTTCCTCATTTTTACTAGGAAATTTATATCACTTATATGTAAGTGTACATTCTATATTTTTATGTTAACTGTGAAATAGATGCAGAAAATACTAAAACTTCATTCATGGCACTTTTCTGAGGACAAAGGTAGGCACTCTACAGTCTTAGAACATCTGTGTTTATGTAGATTATAATCCAGTCCTTTTTCCCTTCAAATTTTGCAAAGATGTAGCCTCTTGAAAGCAATTTTCTATTGCTAGACTGTTCTGAATTAAAGTTCCCCCCAAAACTTAACAACTTATTTTCATACTGCTTTCACACTTTCTGATTCATTAAAATACAAATTCAATCCTCAAAATAGAAACCTGAGCTTTCCAAAGAAAATGTGTGAAGAGCCTTAAATTATGAATGTAAAAAACATACATTCATAGTGCCACTGACATGATTCATTTTCTGTTCCCAAATGCTTTCTTTAATCCAGAACTTTTGAGTTGAGAAAGTTCTGCTGGTATGAAACAAAATCTCTTCAAAACAGTGTATTCCATGACTAAAACTATGAAACAACAGATTTATGGAGAGCATGGGTCAAAATACCCACCTTTGTTTATTCAGTGTAACTTCTTCAATATTTATATGAACATGGGAACCAGGAATGGACATGGCCCATTCCTGTGATGTGACCTGCTGGGAGGTTTCAGATGATGACAGTGTCAGTGCCTCAGGCTCACTCACAGCATCCTGAGAGGGTTCCTGCAGGCTGGATACGTGGCACAGACATTCCTCCTCCCCACAGCACAGCTGCAAACTGCTCCAGCTCACACAGAACAGGTCCTGGTCTGCTCCAGGCAAAGCCTAAGGCTTGTGTCCTTGCCCTTGTTTACTTTCCTAAAAGCACCAAACATAATACTAATAAAGCACCATTTATCCTGAACATTCCACAACCATGGAGTCATCAGTTATGAAGAGTGAAATATCTTTTTTTAAAATAAAGATATCTCTTTTGCTTTGTTTTAGGCAGCCTTGCAGAACCCAGCATAAAAAGAAAACACACACAGAATGCAGCTACTCTCTGAGGACACAGTTAAATGCAAATAAATTATCTTTGTGTTTGTGTGTGTGTTTACAAACACTGAGAGTCAACTTTTCAGTATGAACTTTCAGTTCTGTCTGTTGTAAATTAAAAAATCAACAAAACCTTGCAGCCATATTTTATAATCTGTATTACTTATGTCAATAACAAATAGTTAAGAACAAGCTCAACTGACTCCATCTCAACATGAAACTCACTTTTACAATTCAGTGAAAAAGAAAAGAACCAGACTGCCACAATAATAAATTCTTCTTATAACCCCTACCATCTTCCCGTGGATCCATAACATTTTCCTACATACACTTTATGGCAGTAGCTAGTAGTCTCTTTTACCATGTAAATCTAGACTCATAGCAGGCATTAAGGTTTCTTTCCAGGGAGCTGATGCATTGTTTCCTTCCAGGGCCAGCAGTGCCTCAGAGCTGTTGCTGAATTAGCTTGTCCCCAGGAGATGCTGCTTCGTGCTCTGAGCTGAACCACAGACCCTCGAGTGCTGCTCTTACCGAGTCTGAAACAAGAACTCTGTGCGAGAGAGAGCAAGGCACCATGCATCAGCAAAGAGCTTTGGCAGACGGATTCTGAGCCCAACCACACAAGTGACAACGAGTGTGCTGCCCCTCACAATCAGAGCAAGCCCTGGAGCAGTTTCCTACAGCACCGCTGATGCTGGAGTAGCAGCTCCCAGACAATGCCTGGGGATGGGCATTGTGGTGGGAGAGGGGCACGACCACCCCACGCCACTCTTGGTCTGGCACATCTACACGGGCTAGGGAGGGAGGGAGAGAGGGACCTCAGGGAGTTCAGTGCAAGGTTGAAGGCAGCTCTCAAGACTGACATGATGATTAATGCCTGTGCTGGCCACAATGGAGTCACACTTAATTTACACCTGTGTAAACAACTGGAGATGCAGCCCGAAGGATCTGATCCTGCTGGAGAGTAACTTTGGCAGGTTTGCACTGGTGGCAGTGGGAGCGTGCAGCAGTCAGGTCCTGCCTGTTCTAATAAGTGTCTCTAAGCCCCTGGAAAGCTTGCTTTAAAAATTATTTCAAAAAGCAAGCTGTCTATCATTTATTGACACTGTGAGATTCTCTTAGCCACTCACACAGAGGCTAAAGCTATATTTCAGCTTGGAGAGAGAGAGAGATTTTCCAAAATCCTTGCCATTTTATTCAGCATGATATAAATAGATAATCTACAGGAGTCTATTGTAATCTCACTGTTTTTAAAACAAATCCAAGGACCCACACTTCAACAGCATGTGCCCTCATTTACACACCCTCCAAGGTATAACCTGTGCCTCAGACCCCTCTCCTTGGTCTCTCTGGGCAATGAGAGCTGAGGTCTCAGCCCTGCCCCATCCCCCTGGCTGAATTCACACCTAGCATCCACCTTCAGCCTCCTACCACTGGCAATGGCAACTGGAAAACTCTGTGCCTCTGACTTTTAAATATTCACCTCTGTGTTTTCCCTTGAAGCTGTGGTACTGCTTTTGTGCTGCTCCTGCCTTGGCCCTGGTCTGTCAGATCAATGCATTCATTAAGAAAAGCTTCACTGCCCAGATGATGAACAGACATCATAAAATCATTATATTTGACAATTCTTATTACAGGTTTTATATGGTGGCTACATTTCTGCCACAAAAAAGACTCAGAAGACTTTCCCTGATGTATAACCTTTCCAACAAGAGGAGGAATGTAATTAAAGTCTATTTTCTAGAAGTCTGCTTTGTTCAAAGATGAATCCAGACCTCATTCCTCACATTCCCTTAGTTTTATGGTAATTGTGAATAAAGTGAAGGGAGCTGCAAATATCTTTACAATTGTTTTATATTACTTGGACAGATAATTATTTGGTTGTGCCAACAAATGCATACTTAGCCTTCAACCAGTGAAAGAAATTATATGCATTTTTCTAGACATAATTGTGTGCAGATGAAAGAGCAATAATAAATTCTGAGACCCAAACTAAGATCCCTTTGAAAAATCAAGAACTTAACTCTTCTCACACCCCAAAAATTAAGTTTCAATTTTAGGATAAAAAGCTTCAGATTTTCATTTTCAGTGTGATTCAAGGAAATTTTGAGGCTGAGAACTCTGCAGTTGGCGGGGAGGGAAAAATTTCCCCTTTCTAGTGAACAGCACTTAGGACTGTATCTAAACCCCTTGGAAACACCATAGTTTGCCCTGAGCACAGTACAAAGAATATTGCTCTTCTCCCCAAGAACAGGTGGGATAATTCTGTCCATCTCCCAGTAATCATTGAGGTATTTTAGAATGAGAATTCAGCACACAGTTAAACACAAGTATTCTCATCTTAGTTTTCTGTACTTTCCAATGCTCACCTCTCAGGAATTCAGGGGAGGATGAAAGAGGTAAAAACTTCTCAGTCTCTGATGCATGAAATGCCCCTACATAGTTAAAGTATTTCCCCAGGTGCTCCTAGTTTACAGATTTGGAAGCATCCCCTATGGACACCGCAGTGGCAGCACAACAGGACAATCCTCAGTGCTGTTCATGCCTGAGCCAGGGTGTCACTGAGTGACATCTCCCTGCTTAGCTGGGAAAAACTGCTCCTCCAGGTATGAGGGACCTAAAACCACAATTCAGTGACTAAACAATATGTGACCCAGATGTCTCTATCACTGCAGCAAAATGCACCAAATGTCTTGAAATGTCAGTGGGCAAGGGTGCATGCTCCTTTTTCTGTTTGAATGATCATCATCATATCCACATGCTCAGCTACGGTATTAACCATCAATAAAAGGCAGTTTTTAGGGAGCTCCTTACAAAATTTTTTTTCATATCATATTTCTAATGAGAGAGAAAATCACCTCCTGTATTGTTTTGACACATCCTTGCTCTGGAAAGACAACTAAATGAAGTAACAGAAAATAAAACATGGCTTAAAATATTTTCAGTGACCAAATCAAACCTTAGGTGAAAACCTCTTCTGTGTAATGACATATGGATTTTCCCTCAAGTGATATTGATATTTCAATGTGCTAGGTGCTAGATGAACAGACAAATTCATACTAAAATCCTAATTCTTGACCTGTTACCCTAAGGAAAAACGTGTAATGCAAAACTTTCATTATACTCAAAATGCAGTCTCCTAGGTGGAGAGAAGGATGAAGAAACTCCAGCCCATGGCTTGTTTATGACAGTCCCTGAGCAGCACTGGGTAATGAGTTATTCTGTGTGCCTCAGCAGGGTGAGAAAAGCCAGGGCTCACTGCAAGGCAGGGCTGCTGAATTATCTCCTCTCACCTGTCACAGCCACCACCTGGAGATTTGACATCCCCCAGCCCATTAGCACACAATCCTCCCCATGGGCCTTCTAGCAGCCATGGAGCACCTGTTTCCCTGCCAGCTCAGGTAAAGTGCAGATTTTCTGTGTCATTTAGTCATTCCTTGTCCCCCAAGGCCAGTGGTACACGTGTTTTGGAGAGGAGCATTCCTGCTAGATACAGGGAGGATTTATGACAAAAATTGGGCTGCTGTGCTCCCAAGTGGGGAAAACAAGCCTAAGCTTGTTTTCTAGCTCACCTAAGCTAGAAAGATAGAGCAGCAAAGACAGCTTCTAGCCAGCAGGAGAGAGATAAGGAGCACCTTTTCCAATTTATTAAGCTCTTGCAGGATGTCTTCCCATCTTTATATTTAACACAGAAGTTACCATATACCTATTGCTAATCTGAAATAAAATTACTTAACACATAATTTAAGAATATCTAACTCAGCCTAATATTTGTGGGGTGTTTTTGTTTTTTTTTTTTTTTTGCAACGAATATCCAAAAAGCACGATTATCTAAACAGGAGGTTTCTTGCCCATCACTGTCTGCCTTCAGTTTAAACAGGATGAGATTGCAGAAAACCAGCAGAGATTGCTCAGTTCAGACAGCTCTGCTCACTACCAGGAGTTTCCCAACGTGCTACAGCTGCAGACTGGCACATGTGTGCATCCATCACTCTGCTCCAGTCACTCCACTGAATGTATGGCAAGGATGAATTTAGGCTGAAATGCCTAATGCAAGAGAAAGCCCAAAGCAGTGGAAAAAATGAAGAATGTCCATTTAGGGACAGTATTGTTTTACTTATTAAATTATCTCTGTTAAAGCAATATCACTGACATAGTAAAATGGTGGAGTTCAGGTGCCCTTCAAGATCTTCTAATTCCTAATCATTACCCTCAGCAACTGTGTATAATATATCAATTTTAGCCCATGTGGAGAATCATTACCCTTTGACTCTGAATGTGCAGAAGAGAATTTAAGAACTGCATTCTGTTTCCCACATGATAGCAGACTAAATATTTCCATTAAGATTGCCTAGTCTGAGTGATATTTTTTGTCACTGCATTATATAAATATTAAAATATTGGGAACTTTTAATGTTCCACAGTGCTGAAACCATTCCTTCTGGATTTACTGAGGCATCCCAGAACCTTTCATAGTCTTCCAGTCTCACAACACAGAATAGCTGGTCTTCCTGTGCATATCTTAAAACATTATTCACAGCTGTGTTCGGACACACAGTTTGAGACTGCTATAGACAGGGCTGGCTGTAGCTGCCTGTGGCTGCAATGTGGGTGGGAGACTG